TGCACTCATTTACTTGCTTCTTAAGCTTATCACATTAAGTTAAAAACCAAAATTTCCTTTATTAGTTGCAGCCAGGGAAAAAACTGACATCTGTCAGTGGCTACTTTTTCTGATCATTTATCAAGCATCTTAGGAACAGTCACTGAAATGCGATTCTATTAGTGGTTCAGAATTGTTTGAGTACCAGCAGTTCTATGATATGAATATAAGTTCTTTTGAGTTGAAGCAGTGTCGTACATTTTAGCAATGTAGAATTTGTCAGTCTTTGCTTTCCTAATTTTTTTAATGAGCGCTTGAATTTCTTGCATGCGACGATGACGAAAAATATGCTTAGTATGGTTAGGGTGCACTAGGCTGAGAATTCATAGCTTTAACTTTTCTTTTTTGATGTTTTCCATTATTGCTCTTTTTTACTTATCACTAAGGTGGTATAGAGAAGAGGAGAGAATGCTCAGTGTTAGCGCTTAAATTCAGTTGACACCAGGACTAGTCCCCAAATAACAGGAAGATTTGAGTCAAAATTTTTGCTCAAAACCATTTAACCTCCGCTGTTTTAAGCGTAGTCTAATTAACTTTTTTTGAGGTTAGTCGTTGAGTGATTGGTGTTAACCATTTCTAAAATCAAATAACATTGTGCTACAGATATTAAAAGTTACGGGATAGGATGGTTCAGTTGCTGTTTTTGGTTTTTTAGCAAACATTGCCAACAAGATGCATATTTAAATTTACGTGTTAAAATATTTTACAGCACTAAATAGGCAATCAAAAAGGTTTTTCGAGTGAATAACTCTTGTATTATTTGAATTTAAATTTAGTTTCTCTTCACCGCTTGCATCACTGATGTTTCTCCAGTCTGCACCCTTGAGGAGTCTTGATCCAGCTCACAAAAGTGCTGTTGAAAGAGCTAGTGGCTTTGCTGAGAAAGGTACGTTGGAGGGATTCGATTTTTCTTGCGTCGTATATTCTTTCCTTTTTTTATTTTTGTTTATTTTTTTAATTAATATTTTCTAGGAACTTTTCCTATGAACTGGGAACGTAATCACATATTCGACGATGAGATATTGAGTATCAAAGGCCGTAGGGAGTCTTCAGCCTCCGTGAATGACTCAAAAAAAGATCATTTGGAAGACAAGAAGAAGGAGAAACCAAGAGCGGGGAAGAAATATGTTAGAAGGTGATTCCTTCGGAGATTGAGGCAAAAAATAAATTTGCATTTTTTTGGAATTTTATTAGATTATTCTCACTTCCAGCTATCATTGGACTCTTTTGAGATTTTTTTTTTCGTTTTTAGACGTGCCTTTTCCTGTTCAATCGAAATATTTTTTGAGAAGCCTTTATAATTCAAAAGAACAAATATTATAATTTGAGTAAGGAACAGTAAATAGAGTAGAGTGCTTTTTTAGTGCTTCTGTAGAGTCCTCATCTAGTGAAAGCAGTGAGGAGGATGAAGAGTATGGTGAAGAAAGAGATCAGTTTATTGCGCAGCTGTACAAGTTTCATGAAGAGAGAGGTAAGTCGTGCCGAAGATTTTTAAAAAAAAGCATTATTTCCGAAATATTCTATATTTTTTTACCAAGTTTATTCTTCATCAAGTGACAATTTCTTCTAGTGCGTTAGCTTATTTTCCTTTTTTGATTTAAGCTTAATGCTAACAGATTAATACCACAAGGACATTCTGCCAAGGTTAGTATTATTAGATTTTTTGATTTAAAATTGTTACAGTTTTTTTGGTTTTAAGGGACACCAATAAACCGAGCTCCTATCTTGGGTGGAAAGGACATTGACATGTTTCGCCTATATCATTTGGTTCAGGCGAATGGAGGAAAGAAACGTGTTACAGAAAATAACAAGTGGAAAAAAATTATGTGCAAGCTGCATCTTGATGGATGCCAGGGCGCCAATCCTCGAAAAGTTCAAAACGCATATTCTAGGTAAATTAATATATGCCTTTTTCTGATGACAGGATGTTTGACACTTATCCTGGTGTTAAGGTACCTTGATCATTTCAACACTTTCTATAAAAATCTGGGGTTGGCCAGTTCAAATTGGTTCAGTTCGACTTCGTCAAGAAGTGGTCGTCAAATTCGATTATCAGATCGTGAAGCTGAACAGGTTTTTATTTAAATGTTCTATCTTTCCTCAGTATCACCAGATCCATCTTCCTCAATTCATTTTCATTGTTTTGATTTAGATGCGAAGGAAGAAGTTGGCTGAAAAAAGAAAGGAGAAGGAGAAACAAAAAAGAGAGCAGAGGCGCGATGGCAAGGATGAGGAAAATACCCC